TCCATGGGGTAATCAAGGGGTAGAATGCAACTTATTTTGTGACATTAGGTGTTAAAATTCAACATCTTAACAGGTCAACCTCTGTGTCTGTGTGTGTTTGTGCACAATTTAGTTTAGAAACATTGTTAGAGAAAATGGTATAATTTAATTGTATGCTTAATTATAATGGTGTTAATAGATCTTAAGTTACTGCTATTTCAAACCACACCAGATCCATTATTATGTGTCAAAGCACTACACTGAAACTCCTACACTTACTCTCCTTAGGTATAAACCATCAGTCTAGTCAGGGACCAGGAGTGGATTCAGCTGCACCAAGACTTCTCTCTGAGGAGTTCAGAAAGCATCAGCTCTGAACCAAGTGACTCTACAGGAAGGCCTTCCTAATTCTTATCCCCGGTTCCAATGCAAATCATTCCAGCCTGTTCCCCACTCAATCTACCCTATCCCTGTCTGAATAATTTTCACTTGATCCCTGTGTAAGGCAATCCCATCCATTTCTAACCCTTACATGTCCCTTCCACAAAGTAAGTAACAGAGTGAACCTTGCAATCTAATTCTGTTAAGTTGCACTTTCATAGATCTATATTAAAAATCACCTTTTCCTGATACCTTTGTTGGTGATTCTTTAAGCAACTTTAAGACATTCCACTCTCTCCTGCAACAATAGGGAACTGGCATCAGAGTGTTGGATTATGGCTATACTATTAAAACAAACTCAACCGGTGTATAAATCTTGTAAACTTCTATTTGCTTCACTAAATTTGCTGAAATAAACCCCCTGATTTCATTATTTAGCTGCCCACTGTGAGGTGTCACCCTGCTTTAAAATTAAGCTGCCAGGAGAAGCTGATCTGCACGATTTGTTAACTGCAAATTATGCAGGTCTGAAGTAAAAGCTGCTGGTGACAAATTCCTGAAGCACTCTGCATTTATAAATATCTGAACTGGAGAGAGGCTACGTGCCTGTTATCAGGGCTTTGCAGGTATACAACCTAATCACCTGGATTAGAAACCAAATACAATGAACTGTGGCACAGTACACACTCCAGTCACCCTGCCAAATTGAGTCAGAGAGGTCTGAATCCTTGATCCTGGGGGTATGAGAGCAGATGTACATAACCAGAGTAAAATCCTTGGCTGAAACCATTTACTAAGGATTGCTAAAATTATGTGTAGTGTCTATTTGCAACACAACTGAGGAAGCAGAGAACATGAAAGCAAATTCAAGATGGCAAGAGTGGGATATTACCACAAGACAGGGTGAATAAAAATACAGAAGGCTGTCTGTACTCAAGTGAAGGTACAGGGAGAAGAGGCAGAAGTCCAGGAAACCACCACTCCTACCCCCTGGTTTCTTACAGGTCCAGCAGATAAATGGTGAATTTTGGCAGCAGAAATTTGTAATAAAACTGCTGTAAGGGGTGGGGAGAGGAGGGGAGAGAGGTGGTGTGACTGAAGAACAGCAGTGCAGCACCAATACACTAGAAAGAAAAACCTATTCCAAGGCAACACCACTTGCTTGACCTGAAAATCTTCAAAATAAACATCTGTGGAAGCAGCTGTAAAAGATAATGATGGAACAAACTGCAACATATATTGCCAGGTTTGTTTTTTTTCACTGGTAAAGGAATTGATTCTCTAAATACAGGGAATAGAGCAGGTTTCACCAATCTCAGCTGCAGTAAAGGACTTGATGTACCTTGATGCAAGTTGAAAGGCAGCCCTTCACCACAAAACCTTATGTTTGCTAATGTGCAGACTTTGTGCCTGGGCCAGGAAGCAAGAAGAAATTTTGTTTCTGCTTCCTGTGGACAAAGAACTAGGGAGTGATTTAAGACAACCTGGTCTGGTGGGAGGTGTCCCTGCCCATGCAGGGGGGTTGGAATCAGATGATCTTTAAGGTCCCTTCCAACCCAAATCATTCTATGATTCAAGGTCTCCACTAAACTCAAGAGGGGAGAATCTTAAAATAGAGAACTGTTGAGGGCTTGAGGTAAACAAGGAGAGAATAAACACAAGGCATAGTAAGCAAGATAAGAAAAAAAACAAGAAAAAGAAAGATGAGGCTTTGACAGCATCCCAGGAGAACTGCAAGTTGTTGGTTTTGCTTAATCCTTTCTTCACCAATCAAAGTGCAAAAAAGTACTTTAATTCTGTGTACAAGAAGAAGAGGGGGACATGTTTGAGTCTAGCAACCAAATACAAACAATCCCACAGAGATAGTATGACAAGGGTGCTTATCTTTCACATCACCGAAGACAGTCTGGAGTTTCCCTTTTTGCTTCACTTTCCTCACAAAATCCAAGTGAGTGTTCAGAAAACTACCTACAGCTTTCTGCTTGTTTTGTGGAGAGCACATTTATACCACTGTTCTGAAATGCCCATCTCTTCCCAGCACTTCCAGCTACAGAGTGAGGGAGGGAGAAAAAGCCTCTTCACCTTCCTTAAAATCTGGGAATAGCAACTCTGCAAAGCTCTCCATTATGTGCCTTGCAAGGTCAGGAAGCAGTGTTTAGTTTTCCTGACACATGAGCACCTGGACACACTGATAATACCAACCACAATGACTTGTAAGGCAACATTCCAAGGAGTTCAATTACTACTTTATGCAGATACTCACTTAGGACTCCTGCTGACACATCTGGGCCAAAAGAAATAATCAGATGTGGGTATTCCAATGAATTTGTACCAAGACTAAATGGGCAGCAACAAGCCCAGCTGCTTGCTTGGGTATCTTGGAAGACAAGACTATCAGGTCTGTAATGTGTGGCCTTGAAGTTCCCCAAGAGAAGATGCAGGCAAGGAAATCCACATCTCTGCAACCTGGCAGTCCTTCCAGAGCCAACCATCCAGACAGCCTGTTTGGAGTAAGAGCTGTATGGAGCTGACTTCCCTGATCATCCAGCAGGATGGATGCTACAGCTGCTCAGCCCATGTCATGATTTTGAAATGCAGGTGGAACGTCAATGAAAAACATCTGCTTATTTTTAGTTACTTTCATAAATTATTTCAACCACTTTTAAACAAGCTGCTGCCATTTTATTGCAGAGGCAGGGAGAAGGCAGAAGAAAATAAGCAAACACTTAGTGTTGTTTAAGGCAAGATTAACACTTTAACCCATTTCTAATAACATTAGCTTCGTTTTTCTCAGGAAATCAAATAAAGCTATAGAGCCAAGTTTTATTTCTCCTGCAGGGTTCATATTCTAATACTCTTCAACCATCCACTCTGTGTTCTCCACCCTCTTCTCTCCCACTGGGAGAGAAATAGCATGAATGTTTAAGAATAAAGCTAACTATGAGGAACCATACAAAGCATGTATTTAGCCTCCACAGTCTAAATGCTTTTTGTGCTGACTCTGAAGGTAAGAGTATTTGATCAGGACTCTGCAATGTGCCCAATGTGCTGGGACAGTCAGCCCTGAGCAGCCCACTGAACCTTGAATCTCTCCTAATAGCAATTGACTATCCATCAATACATCACAGGGGTTATGAGAAGTTCAGGAATATGTATTTCATTTTCATCTGCACTCCCATGTCTTTTACTTTCACCAACAGCACAGGCCAGGTCTGAGAAAGGAACCATGGGTGGTTTCTCTCTATCACTAGTATAGCAGAGGGCGAAAGAGCACTTCACTTCCCACTGTCCCTGCACAAAGCAGGAGCCATAGGGTGAGGAGAGGGAGAAAGAAAACCATGGCTTTTCTTTCTTTGCAGCATGTATGTGCTGCTGATGAAAACCTTAACAGATGGTAAGACATTCAGCTCCATGCTCTGAGCAAGTATTCCTACCTGAAGCCAGGGCTGCCCTCCACAGAAGCAATACACTTGCCACAGTCACTGCAGGTGTTTTTCTTCCAGATAAAGCCCAACAATTCAACAGTGAGAGAGAAGAAGCGATCCAGATATTTTCAGCTTTTTCCCCCCTTTTTTTCTTTTGACGAGACCATGAATTTAGACCCAACACTCTGTGAGATGCAGTGTGTAAGGATGCTTTACCTCTAAGAGCACATGGGAGGTGCTCTGATGCTCTGTGGGCAAAGCCCCTTTGGTCAGGGGGAGCCCTACTCAGCCCCGGCCTCTGCCAGCAAGACAAACCACCCCACCCCATGCATGAACTTGGGCTTCCTATGAACAAGGAAGGAGGGAAGATACAGCCTCTCGCCCGAGCAGTTCAGAGCTTTCCTCTTCTTATTCTGCTGCTACAAAAGTCCTAAGTGAGCAACCAGCCCTCGGTTATCTCCAAACACTCAGGGTGCTGTCTGATCAGCCTGAAATAGCTGTGAACGGGGAAGCCTTGCGAGGACAAACAGCTTCTCTCTCAGTGAAGTAGTGGAAACACAAGCTGCAATTCTGTTCCTCTCCCTGCTCCAAAAGAACCATGGGCAGTCCCCTCAGAAAGGTCTCGTAGGCATTTCTTCCACAAATCAACAGTGTGAAAAGGGCACAGTGGTTTGCAAGCACCATATAGAGCAAGCTCCAAATGGTTTAGTGACAGATTCATTTATCAGCAAAAAACTAGATGAAAGCTCTAACAAAAAGCAAATACAATAAAAGTAAGAACATTATTTTAATGTGTTCTGGGCTTTAATATGTTCTGTGCTTCGCCGAACGTTGTGTGGCAGAGCTATGGATGTTAAAATTAGAGCTGAAAAGAAAAATGCCAGAGATGGGCTGGTGAGGACCAATTTGTAAATAAAATGGGTAGCTTACACAAACTAGCAATGATGGAGTTATTCAGGATTTCATTAGCACAACCTTTTTTCAAGGGTCCAGAAGAAGCATTAAGCTCAGCAGAATAGGATATAAACCAGCTCTAGACAGCATGATATGGCACAATTTGAATGTTACCTTGCAAATCCCGAGGGGGACTATCCAAGGTGGAAGATGCCTGCAAAGATTTCACAGCTTAATTAATTTTGTGGTGTAGGTCATTAGGTTGTTTCATTCTGTTTTGGTGCAAACAGGGACTAAGCTTTCAGTGCTCTGGATGCTTACCTATAAAACGTATTATTCTTCGAAGCAGTGGGTTCAGGTAACAGCATTCTCCAGTCAAAATAGTTTTCTCTTGAATAATTAGGGTTTCTCGAGTTGACTTTATGAAATACATGGATATCTCACCAATAAAAATCTGCCAGGAAAGGGAGAGAAATGGAAGGTTAAAAATGACATGAGCAAACATCAAAACACGGTTGACTGGCTCAGCCCACAGAAACTGCTGCAGAGCAGAGTGTCTTTGGGACAGTGCAGTCCCACAGGAAGGCTGCACTTGATCACTTGAGATGAACTGACAAAGACTCAGCTTTCAACCAAGAAAAAGATCTGTTCTTCTTGCACGCAGTGGCAAGACACAGCAAACGTTAAGCTTTTTTATATTAACTCCATTTTTACTGTGATTGACACGAAATTTGTCGCGTCCTGCTATTGGCATTTAAAATTGACTGACAGTATAGACTTCATGGACAGGAGGCTTCTGGACACCTGGGCAAGTGGAAAGTAATGCTGCAAACCTCCACTCCAACACTCTGCCAACAAGTCTCAGCAATACTGACTGCTTCCAGCAGCCTCCACACCTTTGCAAACTTACATTCACAGAACCACAGAATCACTTAGGTTGGAAAAGACCCTCAAGATCTTCGAGTCCAACCTGCAATGAGCCATATCCCCAAGCACCACAACTAGATGACTTCTAAACACCTCCAGGGATGGTGACTCAACCACCTCCCTAGGCAGCCTGTTCCAATGTCTGACAACCCTTTCAGTGAAAAAGTTCTTCCCAATGTCTAGTCTAAACCTACCCTGGTGCAGCTTGAGGCCATTCCCGTTTGCTCTATCACCAGTTACTTGTGAGAAGAGACCAGGGCCTTTCAGGTAGTTGCACAGGGCCATGAGGTCTCCCCTCAGCCTCCTTTTCTTCAGACTAAACAGCCCCAGTTCCCTCAGCTGCTCCTTATAAGACTCAAGGCTCTTCACCAGCTTCATTGCCCTTCTTTGGACACATTTCAGCACCTCCATGTCTTTCTTGTATTGAGGTGCCCAAAACTGGACACAGTACTAGAGGTGTAGCCTCACCAATGTCAAGTACAGGACTCCCTACTCCTGCTGGTCACACTATTTCTAATACAAGTCAGGATGTCATTGGCCTTCTTGGCCACCTGGGCGCTCTGCTGGCTCATGTTCAGCCACCTATCAATCAGCACCCCCAGGTCCCTTTCTGCTGGAGAGCCTTCCAGCCACTCTTCCCCAAGCCTGTAGCACTGCATGGGGTTGTTGTGCCTCAAGTATGGTATCTGGTCTGTTTAATTTACTAAATATTCTGTTTTATTGATCAAAACATAAAAAAAATGAAGTCTCCAGGGATCGACTGATCTGAATGTCAGCTGTGCTTATATATGTTTTTGTGATCAGAACATTCATGCTTACTATAAAATAATAACTGATTCCCATAGCAGTAGGATTGGTGTTTCAGAATTAACTTCAGTCTGTCGCACAGAAGTCTGCCTGCCCTAGCTAAAGCTGGACAGAATTACATCACAGACTTTAGAGACAGCAAAGGCTCTTCACAGTATGCACTCCTGAAAATCCCACTTATCTGGTTTTGTCAGCAAGCTTTAGAAGGAAAAACTGGCAGCTTTTCAGAAAGACAGAGTTTGCAATCAAAGTCTTTAGGGAAAAAAAAAAAAATCCAATCTGAAGTGGAAGAAATAAGCTTTTACAAAATAATCAACTTAATGTATGGTTACAAGACACACACAAAGAATCCACAGTGATAGGGAAGGGTCATAGAAAAGTGTAACATAAGTGTGTGCAAGCACACACATGCACACGTGTGTGCCCAAAGGGAGCATAAACATCAAAGAACTAGACTTAGTTCACTTTGACTGCTGGAATGGTGTGTTGTTTCAAGGGCAACAATTTATCCTTATTAAGCCAGATGAGTGTCCTTATTGATTATAGACATTCAAGCCAAGTGTGCTAAACCTCTTTACAATGCTAACTGCTGATGGTGAGAGATGTGGAGCTGTAAAATGTATGTCAATAAATGGCATCTGGGGGTAGGAGCCAATGCCCAGAAGCTGCACTGAAATATTCCCTTTATTGTGTTTCACTCCATCTGCTCTTAACAGAATTGGCAACCGGTTCAATAAGCTCAGCTCCCTAACTACAGGGCTGGGAATCAAGAAAAAGGCCATCTGCAGCAAAGCAGTTTAAAAGTGACACTGTTTCAAACCGTTTATTATTTGAATTATGATGATGTTCAGAAGTTTGAATTAATGGCTTTGCTTCTCTGTCTGCTGTATGTGCACACTGAGAGGAATTCCACACCCTGAGGAAATTACACTCTGTGAATACATGGGTTAGTGGACTTTAAAAAACCAAACATTTCAAATAAGAGAGACATAGGTATACAACATATTAATAGTCCTCCTTTAAAAGTACATGCATTTTTAAAGTCCCTTTGCATTTCTGAAGTCAAGTAACCCCACTGATTCTCATTATTTAAAACCCAATGACTGCATGAGCAGGGTCCATCAAGGCAAGTTGTCCAGCTGGCCTCCCAGAATCAGTCACTGATGCTGTTAAGTACCTCAGCTCCTGCCAGAACAGAATCAGCATCCCAGGAAATGGTGCAATTCAGTCTTAAATCTGAAATCTGAATATCGATACATAGATCCGGGTGGGAAAAGAGAAGAGCAAGCAAACTACTTATTTCTGTTTGAGAAAACAATGCAAGATTAATGAACTGCTGTATCATATTGGCTTACTTGGATAGCAGCAATGGCAAGAAAATTGCACTGGAGGTTGGGGGCTGAAAACACAGGAGATCTGCAGTCTGAGGTGATGTAGGCAAAGGTCATGCCCCTATATGTGATTTTGTTCTTGGTTTCCTGAATATGACAGCAGCTCAATTACACCGAGGCTATGTTGCTTGGACACTCTTGCTTACTTTCCTTTTCATATTACTATTAGGAGAAAATACTATGATGATGCCCCAAAGCCCTGGAATTAGTTAAGACATACATACCCAGCAGCCAATTTTCCCCTGTGGATTTCAACCTGTCCATTGAGAGAACATCTTTATTTTGCCCTACCTTCCCACTATTGGCAGTATCACCGAATACTCTCTCCTTTACATTCAGCTCTCAGAAACCTCTGCTGCACATGCTCCTCCTGAGCAAAGAGATGGATAAAATTATCTGTCCCATTCTCTTCCTTCAACAGCTTTTTGTCCATGATATATTTGGAAGTGATAGTCCTTGAACTTGTGAGCTGCCATTTTCACACAGTGAAATTTCCCCCTTCACGTTCTCAGCACAGCATGAGCACCCAGTACTCCCTGCACTCCTGTATAGATCACCAACAATGTGTTAATTTAATTATCAACTTAATCAACAAAACAATGTAACTGATGGTTTAAAAGGGACAGGGATTCTTTATCTTTTATTTTGTTGTTGTTGGTTTCTTTTATTTTCCTGTAACTTTCTGGTAAGTTTGTGGTCTCCCTACCAAATGATTCTTTGCACAACTGCATTCTAGAAAGAGACTGGAGAAAATATCAGCAAGAGCTGTTTCTACAGATGAACTAAGACAAACCACCCAGAAAGAAACCTGAGTTACACCCAGGAGGAGGCTGCAGATCAGCTGCCCCTGGGAGCAGCACTCCTGCAGGGATGAGCAGTGGGCAGTGTGGGTGGGAGCAGCTTTCAAGAGTTAACGTTCTTCCTGGAAAATAAGTATGGATGGTGCTGACAGCCAAGGATGTGCTCAACTGCAAGACTTCTGTTCATTAGTTCCTCTCATTCAGGGCATTATCCTGGTATCAGTACCCAGTTTGAACCCTCTAGCAGAGCTGAAGACCTCACCCCTGCTTGACTCCCCTGCCTTGGCTTGCCTCTCGTCCAGCAGCCACGTTCTTCTCCTTACTCATGTTCCTCCTGTGCATGTAGGTGCCACAAACTGGCTGTTCTCTGCATAAACTGGCTTACCACCAGTTACCCTGCCCCAGTCTCACCTCCTTTTTTCCCCACCTCCTTCAAAAACTCATTACAGACAGTCTATCTCCATCTTCCCTATAGCCCTTGTTCAAGAACATAGCCCATATTGACTTTCACTTAAGTGCTGTTAGTTCCTTAATTCCTTATATGTCCCTTGCAGTTATTCTTAAGCCCTGGAGGGTATTGATCTGCCATCCTACCTGCTACCCACTAGGACAGTTATTGACACTGCACAGCTGAGACTCTGTGGTTGAACCTGGGCAGCAAACATGAAGCAACTTTCATACTGAGAAGACACCTTAGGAAGCAACTGGTCACCAAGGTCTGCCTTGGACCCTCTTCATAAGTATTTCTGCTGTCACCTGCATCCAGCACCTTGACCCATGCCCGCACAGAGGGCAGAGGTTTCCATGTTAACACCAGCACCATCACTGATCATGAGGACTTAAAAAGAACATCTGAGGGAACTGAGGTTGTTTAGCCTGGAGAAAAGTGGTCTGAAAGGAGACTTTACTGCTCTCTACAACTGCCCAAGAGGAGGCTGGAGTGAGGTCGGAGTCAGTCTCTTCTCCCAAGTAACAAGTGGTTGGAGAACAGGATATGGCCTCAAGTTATTCCAAGGGAGGTTAAGAGAAAAATGTCTTCAGTGAAAGGGTTGTCAGGCACTGGAACAGGCTGCCTAGGGAGGTGGTTGAGTCACCATCCCTGGAGGTGTTTAAAAGCCTTTGTAGATATGGTGCTAAGGGACATGGTTTAGTGGTGGACTTGACAGTGCTGGGTTAATGCTTGGACTTGATGATCTTTCCCAACCAAAACAATTCTGTGATTTCTTTGGAAAAGGGACACACCCTTCCTTACAAGGAGCAAGGGACACTCCAGGTGTTGACACTGGCCTCTCCTCCCTGCTGCTGCCCAGCTTGCTGTGCTGGCACAGAGGTGAAGCAAGGCAGGCAGGAGACTCTGCTTTAAAGAGCCTAGGAATTTCTGCCTGAAAAAGCTGGGAAGAAGCTACTGCAACAGAGCTCTGAGCTGCATTAGCCACACTTGGTTTTCCAGGCATCTGCTGCTGAGCAGCCACTGGGGAATCAGCCAGCACAGGCAGAAATTCCTGAGCTTCCCATTTAGAAATAAATCA